TATTTTATTTTATATTTCTTTTGGATCACCCTCAAACTCTTCAAGAGAAATATCGCATTTGAAATCAATTCCATTTAACTCATTTTCCATATATTCATTTGTGCTTATTTCAATAATTTTACAATATAGTTGTTGTGCCATTTCTTTTAAAGATATTACCTGATTTTCATCAGGTTTAGTAGATAACTTATAATGAATTGAAGATTGTTGCCGACATAAAAAGCAAGTATTAAAATAATTATCATCGTTGTTTGAATTAACATTAAGAAATTGGTTTAAATTAACAGTTTTTTTGCATCTTGTACATTCTTTAGAATTTGAAAGTATTTGCGTATTTTCCATTTTTCAAAGCAGAAAAATATATATCGATACTGATAATTAACCGTTATTATTATAATCATTAAAAGAATCAGTACTTGCATACGTACGTACGTATATACGTAATTAAATTTTACAGTATATTTTATTGGTTAAAATTCATGTGATTTGCAGAAAAATTCGGGGTGTTGTTGGGGGAGTACATTACAAAGGCAAATTTTTCATTTTTGGTACTCCTGCACTTACTTTTTTTATACAGTACATCTAAGCATAACCCTAAAATTATTGCATGTTACATATTATAGTAAGCGATAGTAAAATTTTAGGTTATATGTTAAGATATAGGTGCATCAAAAAATGAAAGTTTTGTGCCGCAGGGGATGTTTAAGCTATATTAGTGGTTACATGACTAAAATTAATTATTTGGGTGACTTTTATCCGGATCAAAATAGAATTTTATAATTTTTTTATAAGTGTAAAAAATGTTTATACCTTTACTTTTTTGAACAAAGGCACTGGACAGCTTGGAGGAACAACCATATTTTTTAAAAATCTATACCAAAATTTTTGATTATATTACGAATCCATATTTTTCAATAATACCATTTTTGAGTTCACTTCCTCTTAAAAGAAATATCGAACACTCTTTATTAACTAAAGAGTTTGACAAATTTCTATTTAAATTGATCGATCAACGAAGATTTGATTTGTCTAAAGCCAAAAACAATAAAGAAAATACTGACTTATTGGCTGGACTTTTAGAAGCTGCCAAACATGAAAAATACGATTACACGACTAAAGAACTTAGAGATGAAGTAGCTACATTTTTTGTTGCAGGGCATGATAGCAAGTATTAATTTTATTATCATTGTGGCTGTTTAGGCTGAGTCCCAATTTAAATCTATAATATTCACTAAATCTATATATATGTTGTGAGAACGGATTATTGCTTTTAGGGTTAGTGTGTAGGTTTATATAGAGTAACTTTTTATCCTAACATCCTCATTTAGTTAAGAAAATCAAAACCCACTTAAATTCGATCCCCGCTTACAACATATATATACTTAATCCTAACATAATCCAAAGGATTAAATTTAAGGATTAAACATTCAGCATCAGCTCATACTTATTATATTTATTCTAAAGTACTAATATCATTATAATTTAATTCTTTTGTTGATACAGCTACTGCAACTTCATTAAGCGTTATTTTTTATCATTTAGCAAAATGCCCTGTAAGATAATTTTCATAATCTTGAATCATAATGTTGAATTTGATCTTACTTGATAAAACATGTAAACTTTTTTCTTTTTTCAGGACATTCAAAAAAAAGCTAGAGAAGAAGCAATTAATGTTTTAGAAAGTGCTTCACAAATACCAACTTCTGAGAACCTTAAGGTATTTTTTTTATTTTAAGATTTATCTACATTAAATACTTTTAATAATGTTTAAAAAATTATAGGACCTAAAATACATAACAGCAGTAATTATGGAATCGCTCCGCCTTTATCCACCAGCAGTACAACTGTTATTTCGTATTCCTACTAAGCCATTAAACGTATCAAGAAATATTACAATACCGAAAGGAATAAGGACTACAGCGAGTATATGGCAAGTTCATAGAAATCCCGATCTTTGGAAAGATGCTGATAAGTTTATACCTGAAAGATTTATGAATAATGAAAAAGATATAACGAATAAATGGTTGCCATTTTCTAGTGGGCCCAGAAATTGGTACTTTTTTTTTCTGAAATACACATGATTGCACTTAAGGCACATTATATATTTATTAATTATGTACTATATTACAATATTGTTTTTATAGCATTGGTCAAAATTTAACAATGATGGAACAAAAAGTTATTATTGCGATGTTATGTAAGTCATTTTAAGCAATATAAGTTATATATTTAATAATATTAATAATAATTACGAACTATTTATTTATTTACAGTACTTAATTTTGAGGTCTCTTTGTCTCCAAATATTCAAAACTCTGATAAATTATTATTAGAGTCGTCTTTCCTGATGCGTCCTAAGAACGTAGAACTTGTATTTTCAAAATTAAAGTAGAAAAATCAATTTTGTTGCTTAGTATATTTATTAACACTTATATGAATAACACTTAGAGGACAGAAATCAGCTGATTTTTTAGGGATATAGTCTCTTAGTAACTTGATTTCTTACAATGTAGCAATGCGCCAAATTTTAAAATTTTTTTTATAATAAAATTTTATATTAAAAAAATAAACGATAAATTTTTAAGATCTATATTTTTAAAGTGATAAAACTCTTTTAAAAATCCCTCTTTTATTTATTAATTATATTAAAACAAACAAAATTGAAAGAGATATTTTTATTTTAGTTTGTTTTAAAAAAAGTATAACCATTTAAAAAAAAATTGGATATCTTATCTTGTCCCGGACTATACTAATTTACATTATGAACTTATATATTTACACAAGCAATATTAACTCTAGGCAAATTTTCACTATAAATTTACACAGTCATAAATATATAGGGCAAATACAATATTTTATATAATCTTTATTATAAATCTATCTAGCTATAAACTTATGCAGCAAATTTTAATATAAGTAGTTTTTTACGGGTATTTTCGGAATTGTCTTGCGAATTGCGCATTTGTGTTCCAGAGCTTTGGTTCGATAGTGAAATACCAACAGAGTGCATTATACAATATATGCAAATACAGCTGACATTGAATTTCATTTATAGGATTAATACGATTGCCGTATTATTGGGCATAAAAACCATAAACTGTAATACACTATTACCATTGCTGTAATTCTGTTATGCATAATAACGAATTACTGAAATACCGCAATTAAAGTCGGGAAGAAAATTTTGGAAGTTCGTTAATAGATTGAGAAATCATAATGAAAGGTTGAGAAGACCCAATCTCAAATTACTGTGACGGCAGATCGTCAATTACATGGAAATCTGTAAAATTTTTCATTTTTTAAAAATTATCACACAAAAGGTCAAATTCTAAAGATTTCTTGTCAAATTCCAATTCTTTAGTATAACATCCATTAGTGTACTAAATCTTGCTTTGCTTGACCAAATGGTTATAAAACTTCGGATTTTTTTAAAAAATTTTCTTAAAAATCAATATTTATTTTTAGATGCCGCTAGTGTTGAAAATTAAAATCGGTTCAAATTAATTAATAAATAAGGTAGCTATGTGACGCATTAACTTTAATGTAGATAATTTAAAATGATCAATTTTTTTGTATTAATTCAAAAATAAGTCAACACATTTAATTTTTGTATAGATAACATCAAGGGAAAACCAGACTTCGTCCATATAAAATTTATATATTATCGTAGTCCGGATTTTCATTAGCATCACTCATAAATTATTTCCTTCTCATTTGATTTACTCTTATTCACGTTAGCATAGCCTGTAAGTGCAAGTTGTAATGATTATTTATTAATTGGTATCTGATCTACTCGTTTCTTA